TTGGAAAATGCAGTATAAATGGCGACATAATGGCGGAGAGAGACAGGGCAAACAGGGGCCCAAGAATTGGAGATTTGTGCCATATAGATGACAGAAAGGGCCACTCTTGAGTAGTCAAAATTTTATTCAATTTAAGGCATATATAACAATTTAGCCCCCGTTTCCTTATTAAATTGTAATTTATTTTTTTCACACTTTTTGTCAATTACATAATAGTATTCAATAAAATAATATCCCACATAAATTTTAAAACTTTTCCTTCATTTTTAACAATACATAATCATAATAATATTAATCGATGGATTCTCCACTCAAATCATGATACATAAATTCTTTTAAAGGGACAATTTTATGCTTACATTGTAAGACCAATAAATCCACCCCCGAATCACTAAGTCACAACACCTTGGACGCCAGCTAGGACCGCTCGCCCCTCTTCGTCTCTCTTACCCAATAAGCATCTGATATATCTTAACATAAGTAGTTTGAGATGGAGATGTCGTGACTTAAGTGGTTTGGAGCTCTATCATGTGCATATAAGACCCAACTAAAGTATTCCTCTATTCATCAATCTAGATTACGGTTAAAAATAAATCAAAGTCCAATATCACCTAAATTGGTGATCACTAAAAATAACAATAATTGTTGCGCCTCATTTCCAAAGCTCTAAGCAAGAAAACACGTCATAGGCCATGTGGAACTGTCAGTTGAACCCAATCAAGTCTATGAAGATTCATTTGACCAAAATAAAGAGGTCAAAGAGCGAAGCACCCCCCTTTTATTTTCTAGCTGAGGTCCTAAAAGAAGAAGCCGAAGTTCCTTGCACCAAAGACCTCCAATATGAAGTTTTCTGAGACTGAATCCCTTACCGTCCTATAGACGATCTCTAGAAATGATTAATGTAACGTTTGTAAATGATGAATGTCAGGATTGTCAGCCTAGAGTATAGTGCGGCCGACTCATTGTCAGTGTATTAAATGGACTGAGTGATGTGAGGCTTCGATTTGGGAGATCATGCCATGTGGTTGTAATCCAACAACTACCACCTCAGCCAAAACTTTATAAAAGCTCACAACCTCTACCATTTGAAAAATAATGAAACCTCTAACACTTGAAACCACACTCAATCTTCTCTATTGCTTATTCCATATTTATCTACTTGAGTTTAGACTACTTCTACTTCGGTTGAGTCGTTTATGATTGTTTGTTTATATGCAATCATCTCCGATCATATTGCTGGTATTTGAACGTTCTTGTCTCGTGCCATAAAATATCTCCCACATCGATAAACACCATCCTTTTATGTCCGAATTCTCAGATCAATGCGTACATGAGTTTGCTCGCAAAGACGCGAGTGGATCCAACATTCGTTGTCCACGTAATCGTTACAAAAAATGGGGTCAACAATAATCATAAGGATTCGAGGGTTTGATCTTGAAATATTGTGTATTATTGATGGAGGAGAATTGAAGGTATAGTTGATAAATTCTGCTGTAGCCATCAGTTGAGTTAGTCTCATAAGTGTGATTGAAGGGATCCCTGATGGCTCCTTGTATTTTTCTTCTCTTCTTTATGTTAATAAGATTATTGTCATCTTCAAGAGATGCTCTAAATACAAGATACATTTTATTTTTAAAAGTTAGTGCTTAAAAATAAGTTTCAAAGACTCTATTCTAACATTTTAAAATAGTGTGTTTGACTCTTCGAATTCAATAATTCAAACTTATTCTCTATTTTAAATTTATTAGAGCATCTCAAATAGACTATTTCTAAAGATAACCTTGTATATAATATAAAGCATCTTCAAATTTAAACATAAATTTTTTTTATACACTCTACTTTTACACTTTATATTTTTAATAAACATTTATTGACTTCCTATTATCTTTTATTCCAAATTTTTTAAGATGTTAATGCTTAATCAATTCAAGTATGGTTCAAATACTTAGAGAATTGAAATATTTTACATATTAAATACAATCATTATAATGTAAGAATGGATAGCGAGTTTGCTCTTCAAATTTGCATGGTCAAATTCACTCTTTAATAAGCTATAGATTTTAATAACCTGCTTATTAAATTATTCAAATCATATTTAAA